CTGAAATGGTGTTCAAGAGGAAAGATCTTAAGTCCTACAGTATGGTATACATACAATACATGCCACACAAAGAAAGAGCAGGAAGAAGGGTAAAAAAGTCTGAAATAGTACTGAAAAGGCTTGAGCATGAGGGTGGCTGTAACCCTTGCCTTGTTACTGCAAAGTGGTGTGGCCCCTGTAAGAGCAGGGATTTTGTAGCATAGGCACAGACAATCAGCAGAGCGGCAATTAAGGAACAACCCCGTGGTCAAGTTGCTGACACAAGACCAGAAAGGAGCAGGGCCTTAGTAGTATATAAGCCAGAGCTCGAGCCGGAGCAAGGAGTTAGACTTGGGAAGCAGCAGGGTGAGGAAGCCTTTGTGTGAGATGGCTGCTACTGATGACTGCCAGACAGGGAGCTTTAAGAGTGCAACGAGAGGGACCTGATTCAGGGCTCAGAAGAAGTGTGGTAGGCAGCTGGTGAGCTGGGTGTTGGTGTTGCTGCCAGAAGGCTTAAGTTTATGTTTGGGTTTTGGGCGGCACTAGAAAAGGGGTGGCTTGAAGGTCCCATTAGCTCCCAAGGGGTATGCGATTGCCTTGAGCCCTGTCAGGGGTCAGGTTCAAGGCACAGACAGGGGCCAGGGATCTCATCTCTGTCCAAGAAGGGGGCAGAGCTGGGGGCTAAGGGGCCTAGACCCTGAGAAGGGCAGGGATATAGCCTAGGGAGGGGTAGAGCTTGGGACTAGAGGGATAGTCCAGAGAGGGCAGAGATTGGAGCTGGAGGGCCCAAAGCCTGACCAGGAAAGATATAAAAGCCCCAGAGGGCAAGCCCAGAAGCTTTGCCTACAAGCTGGTTCTCCACTTTCTTGCATAGTCCTAATGACTTGGCTATTGAGCTAAAACATTAGAGGGTCCTCTTTTTCAAGTATCAAATACATACTTGTCCTGAATTTTTGTGAGATTCAGTTTCATGACTTACCCTCATTGCTGCAGACCTGCCTGGCCAGTGGAGTCTACTGTACATGTTCAGTAGCTGTGCAGGTGTTTATGCCTCAGAGCTGGACAAGGAAGCTAGGTACAGACATTCAAAAAGCCTGAGGTGCAATCGGTCTAAGTTACGTGCTTTT